ACCGTGTGAAAAACATACAATCAACTATGAAACAATGAAACATGGCACGGAAAAAATAAACCACATGGTTTGTTCACAGGGCCAACTTATTTTTACGATTTTCATTGTTTAAACTGATTTCATACATTTGGTTGTATTGGTTTGATTAAACAAATAATGTATTGACGTACTGAAATCAAAGAAATAGAGTTTCAATGATTTGGCCTCATACTACCAGACTTGTTAGGTCTCAAGTCAAAAGCACCAGAACAGACGAACGGCGATGCGATCTTGGAAGCTGTGAGCCCTCTCTTGGAAGCTGGAGACGTGCAAAGAATGGGTTTCGATCTAATATCATGTATCTTAGAACCCTATGTGCCACACATATCTACTAGGCCCCCCTAGTAGACAAGGCTCCAGAAGATGCCGTGCACAGGCCGTGCCGAGTCTACCTCCAGGTGTGGTTGACTGGACCGACCTTTGGACCTTTTGAGTTAAAACAAAAGACGCAAAACATATACTGTATATATATATAAATTGCTTGGTTTATATATCAAATTGATGGTGATACCAATCAAACATATATATGTATGTTTTCCAATCAAACAACAACGTATATAATCAAATACACTGCATATGCCATATAATTCAACAACCCTGTTTGCTATTCTGCGGCAGCATCCACACCAGCCAAAGACACGCCGCCGAAAATCAATCAACATGTTTCCACAGGGAGGCTGAGAGCAAGATGTGCCACCAAGCCTTTTGCAAGACAATATACAATCTTGATGAATCTTTGCAAAGCACAGCTTAGTGGCATGGCAACCAGGTGAGAAGCAAGATTGTTTTGTTTGGACAGAGGTTCCGTGGCACCAGATCTAAATTAGGATTATATATTAGTAGGTGGGTGCAAGGACAAACTCGACTTCCCAGTATTGGATGTGAGTCAGGTGAGCACATTTAACTAACTTGGCCCGAACAGCTTTCTCATAGACCACAGGCTTCAAGGCAGAGTTATTATTTCATTTGTTGCCCTCCCCAAGATCTGACTCTCAGCTGGGACATGGATACTCCAACTAGGCACTAAATTGGGCGGGTTGGGGGTTCTAACCAGGCACAGAAGGGCTATTGGCGAGTTACCCCAAGGGCATCAGCTCCCCTGCGGACTCGTGTGCGTTGCGCGACTCGTGCGCGACTCACCTGAGGTCTTCAACGGTGTGGTCCTCCGTCCCACGCCACGCGCAGTGGCAGAGCGGGGAGGGCCCACCTTGGCCTTCACCCGGCCTGGGCAGGTGGAGATGGGACGGAGGGAGAACTGGCTCCAGTGGCTGAAAGTCGATCACATGGGAGGTACCAAGGGACGACAAACTCATAGTTCACCTATGTTCACCTTGTTTCAGGTCCCTCACATACCGCATACAAGGGGATGGTATGGTTCCACGAGCCTGTAAGAACAGACCGACATGAATGCCCGGTTCAAGCAACCAAGGTACCCGTAATAAAAAAACCATTGCAGTTCAAAGTTACACCCCTATTGACTCAAGAGTTTTCCAGTATCCACGCGAGACTTTACCTTTGGAAGAAGAGCTAATCACACCCTGCCCTATCTTTCCAGCCACTGAAAGCACGGTCACCCCTTCCCACCATCCCCGACCATTCCCTCGTCTTTGGCGATCCATGGGCTGCGGAACGAGATAGAACTCAACGGAACACACTCCCATGAAAACGTGACATGGAAGTGGAAAATCCCAGTGGTGGTGAAATTCAAGTGGTCTTCCAAGGGACCAGGCAGTCACCACCTCCATAGAACGTGAGGAGCAGTTTTTGCACCCCGGTGACCTTTTTGCGAGGTAAGCCTGGGCCTCAAATTCGGGTGTGTCTCAAAGCATGAAAGGACTGGATGTTCCCTCTGCTAAACCGGGTACTGTATTCCTTTATAGGTTCCTCTCATTCTTAGTATTGCTTTGATATCAGCAATGGTCTAGCAGTCTAGTACCAAATATGAGCTGTCATCCCCCACTTTCTTCATCGTTCGTGCGGTCCCTGGTCGTCCTGGTCACGTTCATTTCTGTTTGCCTCTTCTCCGACCTCTTCTCATCTCTTCTCTATTTTGAAGATTTTTAGAAGAGGGTCTTTGGTCTAGTGGAGTCGGAACCTGGTGAAATCATGTGGAATCAGAATCATCCGGAACTCATCCACAACGGCGCCAGGGCCTCTACTTTTGGAATCTCTGCAGCATTAAACCGTGTTTTCATTTGTGCAGAAAGCTACCCTTCCCTTGTGATTGACGCACCTCAAACGAGGCCCCCGACGATCCCCCGACCCCTTGCTGCGGAGGCGCAACCGAGTCCCAACAGATGATCGGTTGCGACCACCAGCGTAGATGATCGGCGCACGCCGCCTGTAGACACACCCAGGCGATTACCAATGGATCATCGACCCCCATTCAAGCCAGTTACTTGGCAAAGGGATCCTCAACCTCACTGTGGACGGACGTGCACCTCAAAGCCCCATTCAGTAAATGGACACTTGTTGGGCTCACCCCACTTGAGAGATCTGGTGGTTCCAAATGAATCCAAATGAAAGGATTGACCATGATTGACCCAGACACCTCCTCCAAGGTATATCTACCCTGGTTCTCCTGCAGACACCTTCAGCTTTGCCGATAGCCGTGCCATGAGCCGCTGGGATCGGACGAAGCCGAGACGAGGTCCTCGGGTCACGACCGGTTTCGGACCGATCGGAACGACCGTTTTTGGCTGGATCGGATCAACTCGGATCAACCAGACATTTGCTGTAGGGCGGTGCAGGATCAACCTGGCCATTGATTGAAGACAGATGCCGATGCAGGCAGTTGATGCAGGTAGAAACCATCTTCAGAAAGTTGGAAGTAACCTTGAGGTTGGCTGCGACTTGCATGGAACGAAGCTGTTTGAAGAACCTATTTGAGCGAAAGCATCACTGGTCCTGCTGCGAGAACTATAGAGAACCCCTCCATGGTGACCCCAAATAGAGAGACTTCAAGAGAATCGATCATGGGTGGCTTTTCCATTTTTTCCTTATTTGATCTTATTTGTGTTTTTCCAAAAGAAGAGCACAGACACCTCTATGACTTGGGCTCCGCTCTTCTCTCCACCCAAACTCGTTCCTTCGACCGATTCGACCGCGGCCGATGTTGAAGCGCTGAGGGAATCTGGGGTGGCTGGTTCAGCTCAACAACGAGCCAACGCCCAGCATCGAAGCTCCGTCAGCACGCACGACCAGAAGCGGTTCGTTGAGGTTGGTCTTCTTCCCATCACTCCTCCCATCCAACCTTTGGTTGGTTGACCGCTTTGGAAATACGGGGAACCTCCGCTTTACACGGCAGGCCCCCCGACGCGAGACGACGGAACGCGGAAGGACGGTCGTAGACCGAGGAACGCCTGCTGGAGATCATCCACTCGGGCGCCCTGAGCGGCTGCGAGTGGCTGCGCTGTCACGTCATGGACGCTGAGGGCCGCTTGAGCGTACGGGCCTTGAGGCCGGTGACGGGTCAGTGGGATCGCCGGTGATGGGTCTGTGACGGAAAGGTTTTGGAACGCGAAGACATAAAGGAACCACGAGTCTTGAGGTCAAAAGGGTTTTGGCTGGAGACAATGTGATTCAAGCAGTCCAGCTTGACTCTCAGGATTTTGTGTCAGGAGGACCAGGAGGACATGGCCAACCCTTTGTTCTGCCTGGGATTCGCACTTTGAGAGGCCATAAACACGATGGAAGCCACTAACCTGCTCTGCTCAGAATTCTTCAAACTTGAGAGCCACATTACTTCTGAGTGTTGCCTCCAAAGCCACCTGAAATACATCGTTTTCATGTTCTTTAAAGGTAGTGGATCCTCCAGAGGAATGGTCAGGATTCATTTTCTGACTGTGTGAACGGAGGGCCGATGTGTCAGGCCAGATTTCGAATTTTGGCCAACTGTGGAGATTGTGTGCCTTGGAGATTGGAACTCAGAGCTAGCTTTTTGTTTGGGGTTCAGAACGCTCAGTGTGTTGAGGTGCCCATGTTTATCAGGGAGCATAAATTAAGAACCGAGATGGCATTCTATGCTGAGAAACTACGGACATGTGCATGCAGTGTTTTGGCTCTTACAAGATAAACTGAACACATATGATATTTAAGGATGTATATATATATATATATGCAGATGCATGATATGAATCGATATGGTGTATCATATTACACGGAACAACAATAGTAAATGATATATGTGATTTGTCAAGTGATACGTCATATTCATCTCAGGAAGAGACCCACCAAGCTGAATATCGCTGAATATCCACCTTTAGAAGATGGATGCTTCCTCCACGTTCGCCAGTGGTTTTGTGTCCGGCTTTTGCCACCGAGGCGCCGGAAGAGTGAAGGTGACCAGTACCAGTCACCCACCTGGGCTCGAGTAGAGCATATGCCCTGAGACCGGTCAACTGAGACCGCGCTGAGAGATGCGCCGACGCGCTGAGAGATAGGAGACGTCTCGCGGCGAGGACGACCAATGGCGCGTCCCAAGGGCGTGAACGCGCTTTTGCAGCCTCCCAGCAGGGCTGCTGAGAGCTGCGGTCTCTTGTTTGAGAGCAAATGAGAGAGGGGCATGGGCATTTTCCCGGGCTCTCGCTCCTAAATTGTGACACAACATTCGGCTGTGAAGTGAATTTGTGCACGATGCCACTGAGTGGCATGATGACTCGTGAGGATTGGTGAGAAAAGGGTGCGACTGGCCGGATTGCACAGTGCTTCTGTTGTAGTCTATCTGCATTCAACAACACTGGGAAGTCATGCATTCATGCAGCTCAGTTGCAGGCATGTTCGGTCTGCTGCTTCTTTTTGTAAGGTTATATGTGACTGCGCAGCGCGCCCGCAACAGTTTGGCATTTGGATACCTGAACAAATCCCTACTTGAACATCTTAAACATTCCTGCTTGATTCCTTTCTCTTTTTCTGCATGCCTCCATACCATGCGACTGTTTGCCGAAATGGGCTGCCTCGAGGTCTCAACAAACTTTTGGGTGTCCTGATGCGGCCTGCCGCGGCCCCAGTGGAGGCCCAAACAACCTGTGACGTTGTTCAGCCCAAACAACGCGAAGCGTGTGAGCGGGTCGTTTCGACATGAAGATGAAGAGTTGGAGTGGTCCAGAGAGCTTTCTGGAGAATGTTAGTTCTGCTCAGCCTTAGCCAATCTCAGACATTCGAGCCATCCGTCAGAAGTGTTGCCTTCAATCACCAAATCTTAGCTGGTCAGGAACATCCTACCTCAACGGAGAACGAGCGAGACCAACAATCCGTGTATGTCGATGACACCAGAAAAAATGGGTCACTGCTCTTCTGGGCAAATTGACTTTTTTTGACTTTCTGAGTTTTTTCTGATGTGACTTTTTGTTGACTTTGACTTTTGGGATTGACTTGTTTTGACTTTTGTTTAATTTAGAAAACAGGCTCATGGCATGGCACGATGCCAAAGCTTCAGGTACAAAAGTGAAAGAGGCTGAAGCATTGTTTTTTTCGATTTGTTTCTTTTCTTTTTTTTTTTGCTGTTTTTTTTTTTGAAATTTTCGAGTGGTTGATTTTTTGTTTTAACATTTTTTAAGTTGTTTTTTGAATTTGACTTGTTTTGACATGTTTTTTTTTTTTAGAATCTTTTTTTGACTTTTTCGAGCTGTGGTCTATGGTTGACTATTTTTTCAATTTGATTTTTTTTCACTTTGACTTTTCCAGTTCACTTTTGTTTCTTTTTTTAAATCAAGGATTCTGGCCTTACCATATGAAAGTTTGTTTGTAACTCTTGCTTTGGCCAGAACGTCATGGACCAACAACCCGTGGTAAAGGGACAAGTTCTCAACATGTACTGTAAAAAGATATCGAAGACTTTTTTTATTGAACATAATTTTTCCATGTCCAGGTTGGACTTGCCTAGGGTATTGAACACACAGGCTGCGCAGGAGTTCCACAGGGTCCACGAGTTGCTCCCGCTCGCGCCCCTCCCGTCAGTGCGAAGTGGTCCGAACGCGGATCGCTCAGGCTTCGTGAATGCCATCATTGCCTGTGCGCAAGGGCGTCAATGGGTTGCGGCGCTCGTTTCGGGCCCATTTGGGGTGGCGTGGCGGGGAGAGTGGAAAGTCCTTAGGAGATACACCCCTGGAAGCTAAACAACATTGGTTTGTGGAGAAAGTAGCTGGAGCACGACCCTTGCTTGCGCCGAGTAGTGTTCTCATCGGTCCGTTGTTTTTATTGCACAATACTTTTCGTACTTTTGGCCTTCTACGCTATGCTACGCTACCTACTTTGCGTGGGGTGGGATGGGTTGGGATGTTAACGTTAAACCTGAAGGTTTTCGTTCCACGGTCATTTCCAGAATTGGCCGTGGTCATGGAAGGCAAGTGCATCCAGAGATCCGTAAGTTGGTGCTACAGCGCCATTAGCACTTTCAAGAAGACAATCATCAGCTTGCGCCACGGCGCAATAGGGGTCGGGAACCTAGTTGGAGCACCAAACCCGATGTACAGGTGTGTACAGTCAGGATTTAGAAGGAATGGCGCCAAACAGAGAAAGGCTTGGAGAAAGCGTCCTGCAGGTGATGCATGCTAAGTGTATCTAATTCGAGTGTGAACAACTTTGCTGTTGCATGTTTTCATGGGCCCGAGAAGTGAAACTAGCTTTTTACGTGTATAGCTGTTGGACTTGGACCTCGACAAGACCTGTATAGCTTCTCACATGGATAGGGTGGGGCCTGCAGCTCTGTAGTCTATGTTGATATCTGGTGGTGAGGCTCATGGTGATCTGCTTGCACCTGTCGTTGGCCCTGTGCAGTGAAGGATAACCCAACTTGGCAGATTATTCATGAAACGTTTCTGGTTTCTGGTCAGTTCAATGATGTTGTTCATATTTCATTATTGGCGATTGTTTGTTTAATTAATGATTTATCATTGAGTTATTGTCTGTTACTGTTCATTTTCCCTTTGTTTTTTGAATTATATACACTTGTTTGCCTGACGTGGCAGACCAGCACTTTCTTCGTTTTCTGAGCTTGCTCAAATGAGTTGATATTTTTTGCAACTGTGTCCATAGGGACCCATGTTGTGAATTGGGGCCCTTTGATTAGGCACCCAGGGTGGATCAATCGTAGCTCATGGGTGGAACTGTGCTACTTGGAAACACTGCTTCTTGGACGATGCAAGCTGGAGGGTCCATGAGATTGCGGCACCATGGATGACCATCGAGAGTTGAGGCGAGTTTGTGGAGGGAAACAGGACGAAAGCACGAACCAGTTCGTTAGGATTTTAAATTGGGGCAGGAGTTGACCAACCATCCCCAAAGAGGAATATCAACAGACGCAAGAAACGGATAGTTTGAGATTCATCATGAAAACCAGAAAGGGTCTGACAACCCATGAGTAGTTGAAGGTGAAACCAAGAACTTAAACCCTGGAATAGGTATAAACCAATGGTTTCTCTGCTCTAATTGGGGTGTTTATTCTTATTTTTCAACGCCTGTTACACTGACCTACACTGACCTCCTCCGAGATGAATTGCCTGGAGCTCTTGTCAGAGGCCTTGGAGGCGAGTGCGGCGCCCAGACGGCGACGACGTGTTGACCGGTTGCTTCAAGAGCGCTGTGCATCGCCGTCGGTGAATCGGTAGGGATACGTGGAAGGCAACAAGTTTCAATCACATATAGGTAGCAAGGCACAGACGACTCCTCGCAAGCGAGGCGCCAACGAGTCCTGTTGAGTCCTGTTGGAAAGAATCGTTGAACCACCTGAGAAAAACAAGAGGACATCGTAGTTCACCCGACCTTTCCGCCACCTTGCGGCCCTTGTGTCCACCGCTTTATCTCAAGGTGTTGAGATTCACAGCGGAGTATTTTATCCGGTGCTGGCGGCACTGGCGCACCACGAGAAGGACCTGGCTTGATGGGTCTATCATGGTCTATGAGTCTATCTATGTCTATAGTATCTATTGTACCGCGATTCCTTTTTTAAACCTTTGCACAAAGTGTTGGGGCACTCTAGAAAAGGTATGTACATAAAAGAGCATCAGTAGTGAAAGATATCAAACTTAAAACCATGGCGAACACATCAAAAGTCTCACACTACAAATGGTCAATAATAGATGTACATAATTGCATAAGGCGCATAAGGTTGTTTCATACATAGATCAACTAAGTCTTAAGTTCTTCCAGAATTCCTATTCACTTTGTTGCCGGTTGTGTGTATATAGTCTGATTGAACAGATCCATCTCAGTCCCAGGATCACGAATTCCGGCGCCTGCAGCAGTCGATGCAACTCAGGCGGTCCATCTGTCGATGCACATAGCACATATTTCACAATGTGAACATGTCTTATTCCTACATGGCACATACTTCGGCACATACCATTGATATATTACACACGACTGAAAAAGATTGACTCTCCATGAATCCTTCGCACGAGGTTCCGCACAGAACGAGACGTTCTGCAGATCCAATCATGTAAAGATGCCGTGGTTCGGACAAAACAACAATGGATGCAGAAAAAGCACATGAATGAGGGTGTGGACGGTCACCCCTGCCCAACATCTTCCGGTCGTCAGCAGTAACTGATCTGGAATTCTGAGCACTGAAATCACGGACATCTCAGGTTGGTACTCTAAGTCGGTGAGGCCTGGCAGGGACAACCAGCCATCCAGCCATCCAGTCTCGCAGCGCCGGTCGCCGCCAGGCAGTTAGAGGTGGATCTCATCTCGCTCAGCTCGACGATAAGTGCCTCATGCCGATGGGAGTGACGGGATGATGCTTTTTGTGGGACTTCAGGTTGGATGTTCCACTTTTTGCACTCTGAATGGGACCAGAATCAGAGCGACAGTGGGAGGGTTGACTCTGAGGTTTTTGAAATAAACTCCTGAAATGTTCCTGATGTACCTTGATGTCAACCTTCGCAGTTTCTTTTTCTCTCGCTCCCGTTCCGCTTTTGGGGGGCTTTGAGAATGCAACTGAACCGCGAGAAAGACGATGGAGAGACTTCGCACACCAATAAAATGCAAAGTTCCTCCTCTGAAGTCCGCCGGAATATCACTTTGGAGTCCTGAAACGTGGTGAATCTAGGGGGGCTGCTTGTCTCAGTTTTGTCTGGCCAATGGTTTCAAAGCCGTCGAGGGGCGCCCGAGCTTGGGAATGTCATGGTTTGCATGAAGAACACGCTTTCTTGGGCAGAGGCGGTGGTACAACCGTCGTGGCCATGTATTGAATATTTGGATGTATTTGGATACTTTCGAAGACCGGTACATATTTACAATCAAAATAGCTTCCTGCTCTCTACAGAGACTGAGATGATTGTGCCAGTTGAATATCACCGGTTGACACCGTTGGGCGTCCTCCCAAGTACTTTGGGCGTTTGTCGCGACTTCCTTCAGATCACTCGATCGGGATTTACCTACCCAGGAGTTCAGTGGATAACCTGCAAGAACCTTTCTTGGGGATTGGTTTCCCGGGTTTCCGGACTAACCAACAGGCGGAAAAGGTTAACCTTGAAGAAACCCAGGGAAATGGCGAGTTGGCCCAAGTCCAAGCCCCGACATCCCACCCAGTTCCTTGCTGAATCAATCAGGACCACTTCACCTCCCTTTGGAAATGATGTAGGAACCAATGATGCACCACCTTTGGAAGCTCTAGACTCTATACACAAATTCAATATCTGTATATAATGGTGTATATATATATACACATCAAGTTAGTGACTGTGGTAGGACCTTGACCTCAATCAACCAACCCCGAATTCTTGCCACCTCCATCTAAAGTGGCTTTTCCCAGACCTTCCCTCCAAGTCCAGTCAGGTGATGCTGGGGACTGGGATCGAGCCACTCGGATGAAAGAAAGCCTGGTGGCTTCATTCCTGGAGCAGCCTGGAGGCCGGTGTGGAGAAAGCCTCAGGCCGACGTGAAACTCACAGGCACACACACAAACACTGGTGATCTCTGGTGATGGTCAGCCTCTGTCCGTGACTTCGATGGGACTTCTCTGGGGGTATGACCCCTTGAAAGCAAATGCCTCGAGAGCCAGACGGAGTCAAACTGACGGAGGAGTGACATCGGCGCATCTCCATGGATGCGGACATTTGTACGTCTAAGATCGTTGGACTTCCACCAAAGGGATCAAGGCCACACATGGCCATACCCAGAAGGACTCCCAGAAAGGCCCAGGTATGCTGGTATGTGGAAAACCAGCTAGGTGACACCAAGGCGAAGTCATGCCATGCGTCTTCACACCAGCGGTCTAGTCTACAGAGAGTAGTCTCCTCTATTATTTCAGACTTTCGTTTTGGCACTCTGTTCTCCACGGATTGGTAAAATCCAGGGATAGTTGAGTCACCTCAAGCCTGTATCCCTGGCGGGCTTGCCTGGTAGTGCCAGTGGATTGAACTTTCATTCATTTGATCCCTGCCTTTGTGTCAAAACGCATTTGGTTTGAACCCCCCAAGGAAGAATCCCAGCAAGTAGATAAATGATGATAAATGTATGTTCACCAAGTCACTCTTTCTTGGAGTAGAAACTTTATCTCTCCCTCTCGCTCTATATCTCTCTTTGTTTGTGGAATTCCTGCACATCCTTAGCCACACACACAACATGGATTTTGTTTTACTGTACCCCCAAGAAACGATTTTTGGTCAAACCAGAAGACCAGCGTGCTCCAAGTGGTGAGGCACCCATACACCTCTGTTCACCTACTCAGGCCTTGCACCTTCTTCAGCACATGCAGCTTCAGTCCCAGGAAAGGGTGGAGGATGTTGCTATGACATGATGGTGTGGTTTGACAGAATAAATATGTAAGAGGGCGGAGGGCACCAATCATGTAGAATAGAGTGGAGAAGAGATGGAAGACGTAGGACGTGATCTCCGATTCTTCAGCTACGACTCCAAAATAGTAACTCTCTAAAGCGGACCAGGTAGACATGAAGCCCCTTATGAATATATTATACTATATTTCATTTTATTGCAGTATCCATTCTCAGGGATGTTTTCAGAACGGCTTTTCGTTTTCCCATGTTTTCCCTCAAAACTTGATCCAGAGAAGAGCATGTTGAGAATTGATATATATATATATATAAACACAACAATCTTCCTTTCTGTTTGAATCCTTTAACACATTTATACATTATAGTTATATTATTTGTATTATGTCATGCCACGTGCTGGCGGGGGTCACGGAACACTACCGTTCCTCGTGGATACCAGGACTCCTCCAGCGTCGCGGACTCTGCCCTGGGCTTTGCTCGGAAAGGCCGGGTGCAGAAAATCCACAAAGGAAACGTGATCTCGTAGGTGAGTTGCATGTTTGATCGTTTTGGCACTGATGCATCATTCATCATCATTCCATACACCAGCTTTGTCCACACATGATCAAAGCAACTGCAGACAAGATTCCCAACTGCAGACGTTTGAGCCAAGTTTGGAGGAAGCTGACCCAATTGAAAATTGCAAGGGAGAAGACATGGACAATCCGACGTAATCCGGGGTCGCAGGACGGATGTCTATCCCAGACGTCGCAAAGAATAAGTGGACTGTATAATAAGATGTTTTCACAAGTGATTTTCATAAAGCACCTCATACAAGACTGTAAAACCAAGGTCAAACCATGGTTGGTAGTTGGAGTCGGTTCTCTTTGTTTCAACTCATCCGTCCACCCGACCCAGCGAACCGGACGCACTGAAACTGGACTGAAACTCGAACAATTCGTACCAAGAGACGGAGATTGTTTGAACAGAGCTAATGTAATTCTTAGCTTGAAATCTCATCTGAAATCAGTTGATTTTTTTTGACCTGAAGCTATTCAGAGGCCAAAGTTTCTTGTGCAATAGGTGTTCAGTCCGTCAGAGACTCGCAATTTCTTCCTGGTCGGCGGGCAGCCATGTTTACATTTCTGGCGGCCCGTGCCCGCTCACAGAGCTGGAGACCCGGTGATGTCGGGAGATGAGTTCGGCTGAGCAGCTATGTCTTAACCACAAGATCCTGAGAGAACGAAACCACCGGACCTGATAAAAAAGAACATTGCACACTGGACTGGTGTAAAAAACATCTCTGGTTCTTTCTGGTCCAATCCTTTGCCCGCACATAAACGTTTTGCTGTTTCTTGTTTGCACGGAAACTTGTGTTCGATGTTTTACCTTCTATTTCAATCTATTTCAGTGTTTTGGTTCATGAAACTCAAAGCAGCCTTTGAAAGAAACAAGTCACAACTTCTCCTGCAGACTCCGAAGAATCCCCTCTTCGGGCTCTCTTGTCAGTACCCAGCTGTCGGGGTGATTCCTGCCGAGGTGCTGGCAATGAGGAAGCGCAGACACCGTTGCCACGCGGTGGTAAAGAAGCTGAAGTCCAGTGACGTTGGTTGGTTCAACACAGGTGAGATGATCTGGACTCTATTCTGGAAGGAGCTGAACTCTATTTTTGTAAGGAGCTGAAGTCCAGATAGATGATCTTCTAGAATTCGTGAACTCTATTTTACTATGGCCGCTCCCAAGCAATGTCTTGATAGTCGCTTAAAGGCTAAGATGTATCCATTGGCCACCCTTTGTGGATCCTATCAACCTTTTCGGGTGAGGATGCCTGAATTTGGTTACCTTGTACATTCTTGTCAGAAAGGGGATGGCTTGGGCTTGGGTGGCTCCAATTTGGGGGGAGAACACCTTCTCGCTGAGTATCACTCATGAGTCAGGTTTAAAGTCTGAACAACCCTTCCAATTAGTCAAGTACAAGAACAGCACGCGACCAAAGTGCGTTGTAGGATGTTCTTTTGGTCCGGATGAGATCCTGCTTCTGGATGGCTGAACACTTCGATAAAGAGCTGTTTGAGGTGAATATCAACACAGAACTTCACTCAAAACTTGAGAACTCTTCACTCCTTCTTCGCGCTTCTTTGCACGAAAAGCAAATTAATACTTTGCTTACTCCATGTGTTTTTGTTCGAATCTCAAGATGGTCAGACGCGCTTGAAGATCCTTCTTTCTTTCTTTCTTTCTCCCATGTTTCACCGGTGGACGACAGAGGCCTTTGAGGCTGACGAAGACCTTGCTTCGGCTTTGCACCTGGGCGTCCAAACCAATCGCTCAGCGAGCGGAGCGATGTTCTCGGCGACTGACACACCGTGACCTTCTGGACGGCAAAATTGGGAAGTACTTGAGATTCTGTTTGCTGCCAAGGGATCAAATTGTTCAACATTCTGTCTAGCGCATTGATTGGCGATCATGAAACATGTACCTGAAGTCCCAACGTTTGACCTCGAAAAGACGGCCTCGCATCCCTATTCCGCCGCCCACGGTCGGCGGACGTCTTCCGAGGTGCTGGGGTTGCTGCGGCCTTCTACATCCAGTGGAGCGACCGGGATGGGACCAGCTCACGGACGGTTCGTGTGGTAGACTCGAGTCTTTTAAGATGTTTTCAGAACAGAACAGGTCAAATATCCTCGATGGGGCACGCCAACAGATCCATTGCCAAGCGACCTGGTTCTTGGGAGGTCTTTGTTTTGGGGCGAGATGGGAAGGGATTTTGTTTTTTTTGTTCTTGGTAAAGATACTTTGACACGTATTCACCGGCTGAAGAGGAGGCAATATACTATATTAACATAATATATTAACTATATTTCAACAATAGAAAACATAAAACCCACACATTTGCACGACTAGATGCCCCAATTCGCAGGAGGAACAGTGTCGTTGACCTCAGCGAGGTGATCTTCCCACCAGAGACTCCTTTTGTCGCGGCGGGGGTGGGGGACCTGGACCAAGCCGGTTGGCAGGACGTGGACCAGGTGTTTGATGTATCTTGATGTCATGTGATGTTTAGGTGCCTTGTTGCCTTGTTTTCTCCGCCTTAGGAACAAGTGCATCGCTACTAGTAACAAGTGCCTTACTAGTAGTAACAAGTAGCTACTAGTAACAAGTGCCTTACTAGTAGTAACAAGTAGCTACTATATATATATATGTATATTCAAATCTACATTGTTCTGGGGTCAACAAGCATGGATGTGATGTCCTGGTGTCCAGTAAGGGGTTTTGGTGGCGTGTTTTCGCGTTCGCAGTTTCAGAAGTGGAACCAGGTCGGTCTCGGGTCTCGATCCATCACTGTCAGTGACTCGGTCACCTGGGCCCCCGGAGGTGGACAACCACACGAAGATCTTTCAGAACGACCAGTTCCTCTCTGCTGAAGAAGTGCAGTGCGCCAAGGCGTTGAAGAAGTCAGAGGCTGTGGAACTGCGCCCACTTTGAAGAATCCATTGGCTTCAATCAGGCAATTTTTTACAACCGTATATATATATATATAGTATATATAGGTGTGATCTCTTTGCCGTATCACTGACTCGGTCTCACATGCACAGACCTGATGCATGGGCCTAAAATGGGGCCGGGTCCGATCTCTCCTGGTTGGTTCCTGGAACATGACCTACTCGTACCGGGAGGTCGACCGGACCATGGCTGACTGGGGCACCCCTTGTGGGTGTTTTTTGATGTTTTTTGCATCGACCCATACCGTAGCAGTTGAAGAAAACCCACCACACAGCTTGGGGTGTCCACCAGGGAGGGCGTGGTTTTGATTTTGATTGATCCACTGCCTTTTTGAAGGTACCTTTTGAATTTCATTGAGAATCTGGGCGGATGGGGACCGAGTGATGCTTGGCCAAATCTGACCCGACCGATGCTCCAAACACATGCAGGGTGAGCCATGTTGTTTGCGAGCCATGTATTTGTTTGTTTGCAGGGCACGGCATTGGTCAATTGTATGGGTTGCTGAATTTGGCGGAGGTTTCCAAGATCTCATTAAGTCTTCCCAACAAAACAACATTCCTTTGGCTCACATGAACATTCAACGGGACGGACGGTTCCAAAGCCGAGAGCCCATAATTATAATCATGGCAGATTGCAGGTCAGCCAATTCGCAGGAAAGCTTGATGACTTCAGATTCCCAACCAGATTGGTAGGTTTTGAACATCGGAACAGCATTTTTTGCATCACATGCACTAGTCAAGATGGCCCTTCAGAGGACTAGTCTTCCCTCCAAGTGGGTACTTTTCCAGGTTCCATGGTGTTCCATTCGGTTCCATGGGTTTCAATGTCGACCTCGAGTGAACATAGAGAATTCTTACTATTAGCTGGTCAAACGAGTGGAAGTTCATTGTTCATTGTTCATGTTCTTTGAAGACCTCTTCTCAATTGCGCAACTGGTTAAGACAATGTTAGACAAACTAGTCAGACAATCTCGAAATACCACCCAAATCAAAACAATGCAATTGAAAATTGGCAGACCCTCCGACCGGGTTTCAGTTGGTATCAGCATATTTTCGTTCGTTTTCGTTGATCCTTTTTCTTTCTGGTCTTTGGAAAGCGTGTCTCTATTAGTACTTCAATACACGCCCTTCGAGCCCTTCGTTTGGCTTCTTTTTGAGCCTCCAGGACGGCGCAGAACACCTGGAGCTTCCCTTGGCCGGCTTCGTGGAGGATGCCCGCAAAGACCCCATCGTCGCACGCGTGGAGGAGCGCATCGCGAACGCCACAGGCCGGAAACGCAACGTTAAAGCGCGCCTGGGAAAGAAGACTAATACCCCATCTTATATATTCTTATATATGCTATTAGGTTGGAGGCCATCGCTACTAGTAACAAGAAGCTACTAGGTGGAGGCCACCGCTACTAGGTTGGAGGCAATCGAATAGCTCAAAACCCTGTAGAATATTGTAGAATAATAGGGGACTCACAAAATGCCATAACCTATGTTTGTGTACTACTATACTTCTTGAATTGTGGCCGCGTGAGAGCGTGCTTAGAACGATAACCGGAACGAAAACAGCACGGTAATCTAGAATTGCCCGGGGATGCCTCCTAAAACCACTCCTCAAGTTATAGGCCTGCATGTGAAAACTTGTCCTTGTGATCTCTCTTGCAGTGGCAAATTCGGGGACAACATGCAATCATTGTACAACGATAGGGGACTCAGTGATGGCATCGCTAGGCCGACGAGAAGAAGTCCATGTAAAGAACTTTGACCGTGGCTCACATGCTTCCCAAGCTTCCGAAGCCTAAAATCCAACAGGTGGAACAAGGTGGATGACTGTTGACTCTTGACCTTTTTCCCAGGGAAACTGACGGGGTCAGTATAGCTACGAACGGGGCATCCAGGCCATTGCAATCCTTGCCATCCAGATTTCGTGAAGAAAGGGGTCCACAGATGGGGCTTTTCTCCGCCCGAGCCATGGTCACCCAACCTCAAAGCCAAGCGCTGCAGATCGTGAAACGGTACCCTCAGATCGTTGCATCAAAACCAGTGATTAGAAGGCCTAAGTGGAAGCCTCACGTGCTTGCTTGTTGTCTCCAAAGGAATTTGCCAAAGACCCAAACCGTTTCACTTAAGACTGGTGCAACAAAAGTCCGAACGTTTCGGGAAGTTAAGCCCCGGATCTTAAGAATGGTGGGATGTCTCGTGACAGACCTTGATGGGTCCCCAACACAGACGAACGTCTTCCCTCCAGGCATCCCGGTACATCCGCACGAAGATCTGCTCAGCTTCACTCGTGTCCAATCTCGTGGCAGCAAGCCTCGGGAGGCGGGCTGTGCGTGGCATGCTCCTTGCTAATGTTGTTTCATGTTGGAAGGTTCTCTGATGAAGGTTGGATAACTCATAAATCCGCGTCTCATAAATACGTTTGCAACATTTTGCTGGACCCTTCCAACTTCCATACACTCTTCCAGACGGCATTTAGATACATTACCATACTGGCTGGTGGGAGAAGAGGACATTCTGTCAGCATGAACACTCAGAAGAAGGCCCTGGGAGCATGGTGCCTTCAAAATCAAGAGCATGGGAGCAGTGGTTCTTCATGGTTCTTTATTCTCACGATAAATAGCAGTGTTTGAGCTCCATCGCCATGGGCAGCACACCCGACCTTTTCCCCAATTTCACATCCGCACGGATGCGAGGGCTATTTCCCGCCTGATGGGCTCCACCATGATTCCCACCAACGGCCACATCGAGCATGGCTGCTTGACAGGATGGAAGGACTGGGTTTGGGTCGTTAGGAAGGTAGCAGGTCCGGCCCAAGAATGCTGAGAAAGGAACCTCATAACCGGAAAACATGTTTTTGCCACCCCAGTAGCGTCTAAAAAAAAACAAAAAATGAATAAACATGAATAAACAACATTGTGCCGGGTCTCAACAGCATGGGGGATAGCTAGCTATTATGCTTGGGCTTTCCTGTTGAGCGGAAGTGCAGGCCCCACCAAGCAAGCTAGAGGCTCACATCTGTCCGATCCTTCGCGCTTCACGATCCTTCAAGATCCTTCAAGCAACGAGAGGGGCTCCCGTCCAATGCCTCGACCTTTCCTGCGTCAACGAGCTCGTCCAGCACCACCCAGCGACCGTCGGGGTGTCGATGAAAGCACCGCAGCACAGCCCGTCCAGCGCAGCACACTCGTTGACCGAGTCCAGCTCTCGGCCTCCAGGTCGATGATTGTGTATCTTCAAGTGCCCGAAGAAGGCCGCGGTCACGCCCGGCGGGGGCGTTTGACGGAAACGTGGAGAGACGGGGGCCAAGAAATCGATCGGTGCTGAGGAGAGACGTGCTCTGAGCCTCTCCTGAGTTTGATGCGATGATTTGGAAGCACAATAGTCTTCACTATATCCATCATATATCCATATCTCCAGATCTCATCTGTGTATGGGGGAGATTCAGTGACCGTAACGGAAGGTGGCCGCACCATCTTCCCCCTGGCGGGCCCTGTTCCCAAAGACGGCGACTTGGCGATGCGGCACGTGGAGTTCGCTGCCGCACTGCAGGATCCGAGTGCGCGCGCACTCTGCGCGGAGTGGACTGAAGGGGGACCAGGTTGGAATCTCTGGTCAATTTGGGTGGTTTCTTAATTATTCCAAGACAATCCAAGACATGTAATGTAACATCATAGTCAAGGTGGCGCTATAGGGGTGATGATGTGAAGATGTCGGGTACGGGTACACCCAGAAGATTGCCATCGCTTGTGTCTTTCGCGTTCTACTGAAGCGTACTCAGTCATGGGTACTCCGCGTGAAACCGGCTGAGCATGAGTCGTTCTAGCGGGAAGTGTTCTGGAACGATTGGCGATGTCCCGGTGACCATCGCTCGTTTCCGCTCGTCGCACCTCACGTGCCGAAACGACGAGAATCACCCGTTGGCCGCAACACACCTGGCCGCCATGGCACCCGAGCCACCCGGAGCTGACCGAGCCGAACGGTCCAGGACCTTTATGGTGGGAAGGAGCAGAACTACTCTCGGCGCGCCTATTTCGATGTCTCTTCAGATCATCCCTTTATGGACCTGATCGAAGAAAGTGTCTCAGAGGAACAGGGTGGGAGGAACCGGCGCCTCCGGTGGCGATGTCTATGGCAAGTCTATGGCATGTTGTGGCGATGTCTATTGGATGCTCACGAAAGATTGCTGTTCTGTTTCGGAAGGTGTTGCTGTGTTGCACTCTTCAATCCACTGTCCCATTCCACTGTCCCATTCCACAACCATCTCATTTCAGAGAGAACTCCCTTCCCCCAACCCCAAGTGGATCCCAGTGGATGTCACTCGACTCGATCGGTGAAAGACACAGAGTCGAGTGAAGTCCCGACCGACGAGAAACACGACCCACAGCGATCCACGACGGACGCGTCGCATGGCTTCGTTTCTGAAGTGAACACTAGTATAGCTTCTTGTTCCCAATACTGCCAGGAGCGTTCGAGTCGCTTCTTGCTACTCATTCGGTCTCGCACGATCTCGTCACGTTCATTCGGGTGCGACGTCCTTCCGATCGCGGAGACGTCACGTCGTCTCAGGCTGTCGTGGCGAGTATGGTCTCTCGCTCCAAGTCTCGCCGGGCACAGCTGTGCTGTTCCCCTCGAGCAGCCGAAGCGTGAGGAGTGGATGCTGGGGGCCAGGAAGGTACCCTTCTTCAGGTTATCAGTTCCAAATATCAGCAACCGCCAAAACGTGCAATGACCAATTTAGTAAAGAGCATTAAAGAGCGGTCGTGAATTTCAGGAATTGGGCTAAAGCATGCAAAAGCGATAGGCCCCCCTCAAAAGCAATATAAAGCAATAATCTTGCTGAATCATGTCCCTTGCTTGACTGTACGTTTTGGCAGACGCTACATACTGGCTAGGAGTCTTCAAGGAGCAAAGGAGCTAACCTTTGCTGAACTTGTTCCACACATATTCCTGGCATGGACGACTGAGACCAAATCTCACAAGGTACTTAACTTGTATCACTAAAAGCAACTTTGTTAGACAACAGTTGTAGTAAAACGATGTAAAATATTGAGCTTGTTTGGGACCACTTTTTGCAGCCGTCCTCGCGCCTTGCGCGTCTTCCTGCTCGGATTTCAAACAAACGGGGCAGAGCTGCTGAGGGGCTTTGGAGGGTTGAGCACGTGGTGAGATTTGCTTCACCAAAATATCAGGGGCAATTCCAATCTTTTTGTTTAGTGGTTGACCGCACGGTTTTATTGCAAGACTTTCTGAAGCCTGGAAGCAAAAAGCCAAATCTGCACGTTGGTCTTACTGGGCACACTTAGGTGCTCTACATTCCTGCGGGGAAGGGAAAGCAGATAATTTCTATCATGATAGACAAAACCAGTTTGCCACGCCTCCAGGAATTCACAGTCTATGTTAGTTAGGATGCTGGTAGTGGGTGTTGGGTGTGTTTCTGTGGTCGAGGGGAGAAGGCTTCCCAAATTGAAAAAAAATAGGCTAGCATGGTGGATTCATGAGCCTTCGGTGTGACTTCGGCTTGGAGTTGCAAGCTTTGTCTGAAGATTTTGATGAGCATGCCACACACCATGTATGCCATGCGGCAGGACATGGCATGCAGGCTGCAATGTCATCAAGGGTAGCAAGATCATCCTGCAGAAGTTCAAGGCTCTAAGATGGGCCAAAGGGTTGCAAAAGAAACGTCCGATACAGTATACTATAGCATACTGAAGTACTGCAATCGTTTTGAAAGATGAACTACACTCCTTTGGACATTTTAAGACACACCAAGGAACAAAGGTCTTCCATGTTTTCCATCATGAAGCCTCAGATGGGTTGGACATCGCCATCTGGCAGTGGGAGTGTGGCACGAGTCCAGTCAGCAGGTGAGAGGCCAGGCGTGGTACCAACTGGGTCCCCAACCAAATGTTGTTTGTCTCTCTTAAGATGCCAGAAACCCATGGACCCAGGTTCATGTTAAGGGTCAATGCTCAGTTTTTGCAATTGTTTGGCCAGCAGCAGCAGCAGCAGCAGCAGGAGCAGTAGGAGTAGTAGTAGCAGTAGTAGTAGTAGTAGGAGTACTACTGAGTGGAGTAGGAGTAGGTGGTGCAGCTACAGCTGCTGCTATTAGTAGTGACAGTGGTAGTTTTATTGTTATTAGTGGTAGTGGTAGTTTATATATATAATATATAATTAGTTGAAACTTTGGACCTGACTCGAGCGTTTTTGTTCGACGAGGAGTATCCACTTCAACGACGGAGCTCCGATGAGCCTCTTCCGCTGTATCGACCTTTCAGGGAGTAGACAGCTCCGTCAGAAAGCACCGGAGTCAGCTCCTGAGTAAAATGGTTAATGATGCTCCCAAGTTTCAGATTGGCGCAACACATTACTCATGACATCCTGGCAAAGTAGGATGATTTCATTCAATGCTTGGGGGTTCCTTTTTTTCCTCGTGTTGGATGTGTTCAATATTATCATGCTGAGACTATAGATTCCATTTTCGGAAGCCTGGCTTTGAAACAGCTCTTGCAGCTTCGCTGAGACCCTGTTTCTCTTAAACACTTGGTTGTCCGAGAAAATCGAAATTTCATGATCACACACCCAATAGAAACTGCAAGGCTTCGCAGTGGCAGGTGGGAGTACCTGGGTTTTCCAGTTCTGCCTGGGGCATCCACCGTGTGCCAACAAAGCGCATGCACAAACGCGACGTGCTTGGGCGTTCGGGCTTCCGTGTTAACGACTGGGCGGCCAATGTGCCGCTTTAGCAAGTGACTTTCAAATACTTTCAAGGTTGCACGATGTTGCACGCCTGTGGAGTTAAGACGCTAGCACAGACTTCAGGAGTGGGGTGAGAACGGGGTTTTGACATCACCTCCGACGTAACAAATGTTCGACTCATCCAGGGGCGTTCGACTCAGCCAGTCCACACATCTAGGCTTAAGTTGGACAGTCCATGACAGTCCATCATACTGCTTATTTATAAGTTGAAAGCATTGGACCTGAGACATGTGTTCTTTTTTTCCTGACTACCGGGGCTTTTCACAAGCAGTGTAATTGGTCTTGGTCAGACCTTTTAACGCATGTGGGAAACAACTAGAATGAACTTAGAACATCTTAGAACTATAGTTGATAAGTGATCTGTAAGTGATGTATAGTTGAAATCTGTCACAAGTCCACGACGTCACATGCAGGAATTTCCTTGAACAGGGAGTCTCTCCATCCCACTCGAACAGATGGAGCAGCTGCGGCTGAAGCGACCCAAACCACCCCAAATCCCGAACTGGACATTGATTTTAAGTTGGGGCAATGGCAGGGTGTGGCTCAATGTCAAGGAACCTTTTCCACAAATCCAACAGCACACCCAAGACTGCCAGGCCGTGCATGGCAACAAGCTGCACAGCACCTGGTCGATGCCTGTGTGGGCATCTAAGAGACATGTTGCTGGTTCTGCTTTATGTACTCGGATCTGAGCATAACAGTGGTGTTCCAAACCAAGGTCAGTGATTCTTTTTGACTGTCCAGGTGTTCGATGGTGTGTTCGATGTACACCGGAGTGCTGGGAGTCATCACAACCAAGAGATTGTTCATGAGGTTTCAATGTTGCCCCGACAGTTTTTAGACACAAAGTAACATGCTGAACATTGACTCGGCCTGTTCATGCCAGCCCTCCTGCTTTTGTCAGAAAGGATGCTCGAAGATACCCCAAGCTTCTAACAGTCGCATGTGTGACCATGTTCTTTAACACTTCACCTGCTTTTTCGTTGTCTTCTTCCATGTGCCAGTCACCAAATTCATGGCCATCTGTTTCAACTCACAAAAACGACGTGCCAACGATGACCAAACACGTGCTGCTGGTGCCGAAACCCACCGTCTCGCAGGTGGACGGGAGGTGGACGGGTGGTTCCCATCGGACATCTCCAGGCAACACCGGGGACCACCAGCTGCTGGGCCGAGCCACCGGTGGCGAACGCCGGTGTGTTCTTTTTTGTCCAAACAGTGTGGTAACACTAGGGGTTCTTACGGTAGTAGTTAAGATAGTTAAGGGCCGGTGTCTAATCGAGGTTTCCCGCGTTCGTGCGCGGCTAGTTCGTCCAGGGACATATTTTGGCTTATGTTTGGTTATAGTATTTGATGGTTTGTTGCCTTTTGTTTTGACAATGGTTCTTCAAGAGCAACACGGACAAGAGGAACATATTGTTCTTTGGCTCAAAGCGTCGGCGTAGTGTGCCGGCATCGTTGCGCCGCCCTGAGGAGGGCGGTCAGCGAATCGTCGCGATCTAGTTCTGACAGTCGTTTTCAGACATGTGATGTCGGAACATGAAAAGGTGCTGTAAGAGCACAGCGAAAGGGTTTTAACATGTTTTAACAATGGTGTAAGAGCACGGAATACTTCGCTGCACGAGCATACCATGCCTGTACACTCACCCATTCACCTCTATATATACTATATTCATGTCCATGCCCATTTCCATTTCCATACCGGCTTCCTGGATGGGCACGGAATTTGGAATTCTTTTGGGCGGGCTCCTGGGTGGATTCGTGGATGGATTCTTGAAAGGAGGGGATGGCTTCGCAATGCAACTTTGACGGGCTTTGCGTCTCGCAATACAGCTTACCCTAGCGAAGACCTTGTTCAAACTCATAGCCCTGCCTGCCTCAGGGCTCAGTTGGCGCTGGGGAGAGAAGTTTAAAATAACTGTCGATGTTTAAAGGCTTTTTGCTTCGTCAACGAGACCTCGGCACGTTTCGAAGTTCTCCGGTCTTCTTGCGGCTTGTTTTAGCCGTGAACAACTTGGCAAACGAATCATGTTTGAAACTCACCGGGAAACTGCTGCAGCACATCACTGCACACTCCGAACACACCGTGGAATGAGCTGCGGCAGCACTCCATAGACCATGTCGAGGAGGAGCCAAGGTCTCAGACTCAACTATACCCCTCAGGCCTCAGACCGACAGGATCCGAAACCAAGGCAGGAAAAAAGAAAAGAAGTAATAAAAGAACAAACGATTGAAAAGAGAAGGACTAAAAGGACAGAGAGGGAGAGAGAGAGAGAGAGCGAGAGGATTTGGAGAATTGTATGGAAGAAAGGATTTTGTGAGTTCAGTCCGTGTCCTGAATGCACACCGCGTGCTGCAGACGTATGGTTTGGCTGATAAATATGACTCCGTGTGCGCATACAGCACTCAACGACCATGCAATGCTCTTCGACACCACACACGCGCTATACATTGACATGCAATGCTTGCGCAGCCCAGTGAGAATAGCTACAGCTTGAGAGCAGCAAAGCAAAGCGCCCTTAGAGAGCTACAGTATGGAGAAAAGCCTTCCACCTGCGGAGCCGGTGCTCCCTCCTCCGTGGACCAGGTTCAATCAGCAAGATTACGATGCTGTCATCAGAAAGGCTGACCCTGCTTTTCCGGAGGCAAGGGCAGTGCCCTGGAAAAAGGAAACTACCAACGAAGCTGGTTCCACAACCTTCGGGAAATGAGGAGCTACCGGACGGTGGTGGACGAGAATGTGCGGCTTTGGGACGAGCATAGGAGGTTGCGCCTGGAATTGGTGGATACAACCGAGAAGGCGGGTGGCTTCGCTACAGGCGAAGATTGATGGAGACTCCCAGCGCTGCGCGGGCGATAAAGTAAAGTACGACGCTGGGAGCGCACTATGTGATGGAGCTAGGCAACAGCGTTAGTTTCCAGAATGTAGATTTCTTTCCATGCCACCGCCGCATTCTTCCCAGGTGCGCGCATTTTGCCCAATGTGTCCGGGATGTCCAGGATCTCAGGTTCTCTCGACACCTGCGCCTGTCAGTGCAGGGTAGGCAGAAGCGTGCAGAATTTCCGGCGAGATGTTAGTTTGACGTTTGTTCCCTTTTCATTCGCGCAGACATTTTGAGATCAGCTGTAAGGGCTGGAATTTGGAAGTTGGAAGATGTGGTGGCTTGGGCTGCTTGGAGGCTGACGTGCTACTTCGCCGTGGTGCGTCGTACCTTGTTTCGTGCAGGCGGTGCTGGCCTGTTTGGGAGATTATTTAGGCGAGCAAGAAGCTGTAAGAGCTTGAGCAATCGATCACAGCTGGGGGTACGTTGTTTTTGTCTCCCATCACCAGACCTGGGTTCCATTCCATCAGTCGGTTTGGATGGTTGAACCGTGTTGTGATTTGACTTCCTGGCCAGGTTCTTTCTGAAAAAGCAGTGCTGCAGTGCATAAGAGCGCGGGGGTCACGAGTTTTCCATGGGAATGCAAGGAGCTGATGGGAGTTCGTGGCCGGTGCAGTATATTGTGGGGCTTGAAGTGGAAATTTCGTGGGAGGCAGTAGTTGTTGAACC